GTACTAGGCCTACAATGACATGTTATACTAGACAGCCGAAACACTTTGGTAGAGCATGCCATTTATTAATTGTTTATTTCACATTTGGCTGTTTTTGTCTAGCTTTTCGCGGGCAGGACCTGGTGTCATAATCGAGGTCACGATCTTATTATAGGACGTTAAAAAGTCGAGGGAAAAAAAGCACTTTCAGAAGTCAAGAGATTATTAGGAGTTAGTTCCCCTCATATCTGTGAGGTAGACTCGACCAGTGTAATAATAGTTAGCTTACATAATCAGCGGATGTGGTTGATTATAACTGTGGCTCGAAAGGGGTGAACAGGGTATATGCGACAATTAAACAGTTTTGACTGCTATGCACATGTTCCCTTCAACTCTAGTGGTAGACTCTTCCAGCCTCACTTTAAGCTTACTTAATCAAAGCTTGTGACTGCTTATGGTGTGGCCCGATAGGGGCGAACAGGCTATTTCTGTGGCAATAAAACGGTTTTGAAGGTTAGGCATAATCTATTGTTCATTGCTGATTATGAACGTCTCTTTACATTTAATTTATGAGGTTTACGTCTATGGTTGAAGTTGACCGCGACAATGTTTCAAAATTAGGAAGGGAAGCAGTGATTATTTGATTATATAGACTCTTTGCTTCTGAAAACAACAACAAAAACAACAGCAGCAGCAGCAGGAACAACAACATCAACAACAACAACAACAACATTACCAGCAGACACAACAACGACAACCTGTAACACAGCCGAATATCAACAAATGCATCACGTTGAAAGACTTCTTTCTCAGCTACACGTTATTGTCCTCTCTTGCAAGCTTCCCCTTGACCTATAGATGCATGGCTGATGCGTTTGTGACGCCGCGGGAAGCGCAACTCGTCTGCCCCCAAGTACCACTTATCATTCCAACGACTTCTCTCGACGTCTGAGCTGGGTCGCTGATGTACCCAAGATAGCTGGTGCTATGGGAGGCACGTAATCTCCCTCGTTCGCTCTTTCCGAAGTGTAATTTCTTCCTTGGGTTTTATAATACTGCCTCTGCAATTTTTAAAGGTCTCACTATCTTACTCAAACCTGCTTAATAATGTATTACAACGCCATACACACAAAACACAGTGATCAAAATCCACAGCAGAACCACCACGGCCACCAACACTACAGTATCAACAACAACAACGGCAACAACAGCAACAACAATATCATAATCTTCTTCTGAGTATTAAGTAAATACAAGAGCATTAACACCAATAACAATGAATAACTACAACAATTACAAGAACAAACATCGCACGCTGCCAAACTACGAGCACCCTTCTCGCGTTCAACAACCTGTGTAATTCTGCCCGTGTGTTTAACAAATAAATTTACAAAACATTCCTGTACAGTGCGATCTTCTCTCAAAAGACGACCGGATATTCTCTTTGTATTTGAGATCAATGGGGTTTTTTCCCCGAAAACTCGAACGTGATATCAGTGTTGTGGAAGGAGAGCTTGCTTTATGGCTTGATCTTTTTACCTTATTGAATTTGCTATTTCATGCTTCTTCGATTGCCGCCCCGTTTTGTTACAGCATCCCCAGCGCAT